AGAGACAGAGAGACAGAAAGCGAGAAATCACCCCCCAGGGGGGATGGCCACGCCGCAATCCCTTCTCCTCCATTCTCCTCTCGGGATCTTGGGCACGCACGCACACGCGCCCGGCGTGAGTTTTAAGCCACCGGGTCCGGGACGTGAACCGCGGTCGACTACGTGGGAGTCCAGCAACATAGCCATTACGCTAACTGCTGGTTCCCATTAGTGACATTCTTGAGTTCTTCTTCCAGGTCACCACATTTTAGTTCAGACACCTCCGCACGCTCCTCTGCCCTTTCCAGCTCGCCTTCCAGGATGACCAACTTACCAGCTACCTCGTATTTGCGGTCGGCCTCCTCGGCAATGTGCGTGGCCTCTCTGAGCTGCATCTCCATCTTCTGCTCATCTGTCATGGCCCGGTTTTCTATCACCTCTTTCATCTCGCGCTCTCATCTGCCGCCTTTCCCGTCTCCTCCAGCTTCTGCAGGGCCGTGGCCAGCCGTTCTTGAACCCTGTCCAACCCCTCAACCAGCTGGATGCGTCTGCTGAGAGCTGCCACATCCCCTTCAGCTTTCTCGTGCTGCTCGGGCTCGCTGTCCAGCTCCTGCTGCAAGCCCTGCGCGCGGTCCTCCGCCTTATCCGCCCGCTGTTGCAGGGCTTGGATCTTGCATTTCACCACCTCCAGGGAGTTGAGGCTGGCCAAGGCGCGGAGGCACGGGGGCGCACGCAGCAGGCAGCGGGGAGCTCCTCGCACCATTTTTTTTTTTAAAGAATTATTTTAACTGTATTTATTTTATTTTTTATTATTTATTATTATTTTTTTTTATTATTTATTTATTTTAATTTGACCAAAGAGAGAGAAAGCAAGCTGCCAGGTCCAGGACTTGAACCATAGTCAGCTATGTGGGAGTCTAGCACCTTAACCACCACGCCACCTGCCAGTCCCACACACCATGTTTTTCAAGGTCACAGGTCCCAGACGCCAATGGAGTCAGCCTCATGGGACCCAGCGCCTGGACCACCACGCCACCTGCTGGCCCTGAGGCCCATTAAGATATACTCATCCAGGGCAACCCCTGGTGCGCTGGTCCAGGCAGCTGGGTCCCATAGAGTTGTGCAGTCCCCGTCCTGGACGCAGCCAGTGTGCCCAAAATCCCAAAGGAGGGAGAACTGTAGAGGATTGAGGCGTGGCCACCTCCCTACTTTCTCAGTTCTCTCTCTCCACTGAGTTACGTGCCCTCTGGCAAAACTTTAAAACAGTAAAAAGGTAAGGAAAGAATCGAGGCAAAGAAAATGTATTTGTGCAAATGACAGATACTAATTACGCCTCGGCCGTGGCTCAGGGCTGGGACAGCTCTGGTCTATGTCCATGCCAGAAGCGTCTTCTCCCGCGCCCAACCACTGCTCCACATTCTCCCTCTGCCCGGCCTCACCACCTCCCGCCAGGAGCTATGGTGTGTGTATCCTGCTTGGTTTTCAGCATGGCTGTGTGACTTCTGGGATGAACATGCTCTGGTAGTTTGTGTGGCCCAACTAGGAGTTGGGCCCCAGGAAGGCTTTCCACTGCTGGGTCCAGGGACCTCTCATGGAAGACAGAGTGGAGGACGTGACAGCTCGGCCCACGTGTCTCACTTGCACACCTGCTCAGCTTGACTCGTGTGTCTCGTTTGCACACCTTCTGCTTAACTGGGAGTCTGTGACTGGCTGAGAACCAGGTCTTTGCTACAAGAAACACCTGAGTTAGGTTTTCAGTTAGTTCATGCCAGGTGAGGCTGCAGTTGGCTAAGTCAGGACTTGTACACGGGCAAACTCAGGTCAGCTCTAAATTAATTGACCAGTGTTCATCACGGCACTCTTGGTAAAATTAGCTCGGAAACCTTTGACCAGCAGATGGCGCAGTGGTCACATCGCTGGAGTCCTGTAGAGTTGACCGTGGCTGGAGTTCAGGACCTGATGGCTTAAAACGCACCCCAGGTTGAGGCCAGTAGGTGGCGCGGTAGTTAAAGGCATTGGGCTCTCCCATGGCTGACCATGGTCCAAGTCCTGGACCTGGCTGCTCGCTTTCTTGCCTTCCTTTTCTGTCTCTCTCTGATGGAACTGGAAAATAACAATACTAAAAGTAATTCTTAAACAAAACAAAATTAAACAGAAACAACTCACGCTGGGCAAGGGGCCAGCAGGTGGTGTGGTGGTTCAGGGTGTTGGACTCCCACATAGCTGACCGTGGTTTGAGTCCTGAATCTGGCAGCTTGCTTTATTACTTTCTCTTTCTTTCTCCTCCCTTCTCTGGTCAAATAAAAAAATAATAATAAAAATTAAATTAAATAATTCTAAACAAACAAAAAACTCATGCCGAGCGTGTGCCTGTGTGCTCAATATCCCAAGAGGAGAATGGAAGGGAAGGGATTGTGGCATGGCCATCCCCCTGGGGGCGAGTCTCGCTTTCTGTCTGTCTCTGGGGACACACATGCCCTATAGCAAAAACCTGTCTTTAAAAAGTCCCTTTGAGACCTCACGCCTAAGTGTGACGTCTGGAGGATGTCATTTGGCCACAGAAAGGGGTGAGGCCACTGGGGCACAGGCTACCCTGTGGGTGGAAGCGACTGGGAGGGGCAGGTGAGATGCCCCCACCGACCCGAAGGGTCCAGAGCAGAGAGGAGAATGGAGACGGGACAGTGGCGGCCACCCCTCGCTCTCCCTCTTACTGTCTGTTTTTCTCCGGCGAGCACAAGCACTCCATAGCAGAAACCTTAAAAACAAAAAATTTACTTTTTTGCTAAGAAATTACAAAACCCCTTTAGACACAAAGAAACGCCGGATGGGAAGTTGAGAGATGGCCGGGTCTGCAGTGCAGCGGTTCTGCGAGACCGCGCTGGAGCTGGGGCGGAGGAAGGCGCTGGACGGCGCTGGCGCTGGACGCAGGGTTCGGGCGCCGGGGCCGGACCGCCGCCCCGGCACCTGAACGGCCCCGAGCCCACACCGGGGGCTGCCGGCGCGGTCCCCCTGG